TCGTGGTCGTCGGCGTCCTTCTGGGTCGGCGGCACCAGCCGCAAGGCCTTCACAAGAATACCATGCGGGCCACATGCGCGCGTCTCCTCGCGTGCACGTCGAAATCTTTCCCACACCAGTGGTTTTCTCAGCATTCCAACTCAATACAAAGGCGTTCAAACACACCAGAAAGAACACCCAATGGCTTTTCAATAACATATGGCAGGAATGCAGAATTCCTGCAAGCGCATTTCCTAATTATCCTAATCTGCACGATCGTCATCGCCATCGCCACCGTCATCATTGCCATCGTGATTGTCATTATCATCATCAACAACATCATCACCATCGTTGTCATCATCACCACCACCGTCACCATCGTCATCGTCGATGTCGTCACCCTCGTCCAATGTCTGAGCACGCCCACTTCCGCATGATCACCACAACACCATCGCGATTATTCTGCAATAGTCATCACTGTCACGTCGTTATCATCAACATCAATCGTCATCATCATCAGCGTCAACATCGTCACCATCGTCATCGTCGACACCGTCCCCGTCGTCATCAATATCATCATCATCATCACCATCATCATCATCATCATCATCATCATCATCATCAGCATCGTCGTCGTCGTCGTCGTTGTCGCTGCCCAGTTGAGTCTTGCCAACAAGTTGCGGGTTGGTGGGCGGGGTGAGTGCCCGAGCAACGGAGGTGGGCACGCGCGGGTGCGGTCAGCAGATACGGAACCACACATCTAAATGAGGACGAAAGCGAATGCCACACATACTGAACCACGTAGCTCACACTCCCAAAGTTGCGCCACACGGCTTGGACCACATTGCTTGCTTCACACAGCTTGCACCTCAAATAACGACTTCCATACATGTATTGCCAGACATGGATTGCATCACACATATGGCATCCCTTATGTCGCACCACGCACAGTGCACCTCGAGAGTGCACGAACCCACTGTTCGGGGTCCACGCTGGCCAACATTGCCTGCTTCAGAGGCTCTTCGGCCCCATATCGCCCATAGGAAGCTTCACAGAGCCACGAGACGACCCCAAGACGAGAGAGCCCGAGACGACCCCAAGACGAGCTCCACAGAGCCACGAGACGACCCCAGAGCCACGAGACGACCCCAAGTCGGACCTGAGCCAGAAGAACATCCCTCATAAGCATGGGACCCTCCGTCGGCCACCACCAACAGAACGTCCAAGGGCACCCTCTCCCCCGCATGCACGAGAACATCCAAGAAACACGAAGAGCACCCAGGTACCCTCCCCGAAGCGACCCCCGAGCTGATGCCTCGGTCCGACGGTGCACCGGGAGAGCCCCGCCGCGCCGGCGCGGTGGCGGCGCTTTTTGCCGCAGGCAGCGGGATAGCACACCGTGTCTCCACAGACACATGGGTACGCGGAGCTGAAATCCAATCCGTCGGCGGAATCGCAAGTCTTCGTGCCGCCACCACAGGCACAGCACGCGTGGGCAGCTGCAGAGTCACTGCCGTCGGTCGTGCACACATCGGAGTGCCAAGACGGACACGGGTCACCGTCGGAGTTTGTCCACGCCTGGCCTGTTGCTGTCACATGGTCGAAGCAGGATCGATCATTGAGACACTTGCACCCCCGGCAGTCCCACTCGTTCGACGCCTCCAGGTTTTCGCACGTCAGCCCCCAGAGAGCCCATGCTGCATCGCAGTCCGATGCACCGAATGATGTATAATTGAAAAGGCAATGGCCGACCTCTGCTGGGCTGACAGTTGCAGTGATGCTTGTGTCGTGGATACTCGAGCCCGCCAGGCTGGTCGAATACGGAAAGGGTGCTGTACCAGAAATGCTGGTCGTGGTCGCTGCGGTCGTGACTGTGACAACCACGCCCTTCGTTTCTGGCGCTGACACGGCCAACGACGCCTCCAGCAGCTGCATGCCCGCCAACGTGAAAGTTGCGTTGAGTGCCGCGGCGGTGCTGGCAACATCTGCACGCATGGCTCGTGTAGTCTGGACGTGCCGCTCGGTGGCGTACCCGCTGGCCACTACCTCGACGTCGGCCCGCCATCCAGGCCCGTTGGGCCGCGAGACGGCGACGCTCAACTGATCCTCGCCTACGCCGTACGTGGCGAGAAGATGCGACATCACCGCAGACTGCACGCTCTCTCGGGCCCCAGAGCTCTCAAAGCTCATGGAGCTGCTCAGGACGAAGCGCGCCGCTGCCGTTGCGGTGCCGGTCTCGGTAGAGGTTGCACTTGCCTGGGTGGAGCCGGGAATCGGGGGACTGGCCCCAGGATTAAGTCGGGCCTCCCCCTACAGGGGGATTTTCGATGAAAAATGAATCATACCCCCAAAATTCGCCGGCCCAACGGGCCAGGGCGTGCTAAGATCTCCGGTACCTGGTTAGCAGTATTTCTAGTTCGCGCGCGCGGGGCGGCCCCTGGGGGTCCCCGGACGAAAAGTACCCCGGCAAGGTCCCGGCAAGGTCGGGCCAGAGATGCCGGAGCCCTGTTACAGGGCCCCA